CCCCGGCCAGCTTCGCATCCTCTGCGGCGGCGGCTTCCGCCCATCGTAGCTGCCCTGCCGGAGGAAACCGAAGAAGGCGCAAGCCATGGAGGGGAACCGGGATGAGGCGGAGAAATGTGTCGAGATCGCCCGGGAGGCCCTGAACGCTGGCAACCGCGAGAAGGCCCAGCGCTTCCTACAGAAGGCCGAGAAGCTCTACCCACTGCCCTCGGCCCGCGGTGAGACCTCACGGCTTTTCCTTCACTCCCTCATCCCCAGACCACCACGTAGCCCACCCCCACCACGCCCCTCTCGGGAGCCGGCGGGCCCCCCGGCCCGCCTTACCCGGCCGCGGCCCCGGGGACTAGCACCCCCGACACACGCCCGCCCCGGGATCGGCTGCCCAGACTCTGGAGCAGCCTGCCTGCGGGACAGCGGCGCTCAGCTGACGGGCGAGAGTTGCTGGCTCCCTGGTCCCTTTTCCTCAGTGTCCAGCTCTCATTCTCCTAGCGGGAGACTTGTCTGGTCCCGTGCTATCAGAGTCGGGCTTTATATCTGGGTGTTTGATTAGCTGGCCCACTTCCTTTCTATCCTCACCCCCCAAATAAGGCCTAGGCTCCCAATGAAATGAGAGGAACAGGGAACTCTAGTGGTTAACCTCAGGTTCCACCATCTCTGAGTTCTCTCAAACATCTTCGAATACCTGAGATGACATTGCTTTTCCCTGGAAGAGAGTGTTCCTTTAGAAGAAAGGAGCACACATTTGGCACGAATGATCAAAGTCAGTAAGGATTTGCTAAATGGTATCTAATTTAAAAACACTATAATTACCCACAAATTAAGGAGATCTCTAAGAAATAGGGTACTGGACTTTAGTTGAATTCACTTTGTTCATTGTCCTACTCTGTAGGCTTCAAAGTAATTATAGCCAACATTTATTGAGCACCTATAAAGTGCCAACAGTTGTGCCTAGTGTTTTCAAAGAATTGTTTCATTTACCCCTCAGAACAATCCTATGCAGAGTTACAGGATTCATTTGACCAGGTTTATCTATGTGGCAACAGACTTTTTAATAAATGAATGAATGAATGGAGGATGAATGAATGAAAATATCTTACCCAAGGTCACACACTATTAGTGGCAAAATAAGAATAGTAGCTGAGCCTTCAGACTCCAAAAGGCCTTTAACTCCTGTATTTTATTGTCTTGCTGATAGGATTCTGTTTCACTTGAGGTTCAAAGTATTTCCAGCTTAAGAAGAAAATTATTGATAAATTAATAAGAATGTAAGTTTACTTGTTTTATTTTATTATTTTTTTCTTAATCTTTTTCTTCATTGAAGAAAAAGATTGAAGCCCCTGTGCTCTTTGCTTTTCTGTCCTTTCCATTACATTGCCACTATACCAGGGAAGACAGGAAAAGAAAGTGAAAGAAAAGAAGGGTGTTAATAATTCTTTTTAAAACTGTGGTTAAAAACACATAAAATTTACCATCTTAACCATTTTTAAGTGTACACTTCAGTAGTGTTAAGTATATATTTACATTTTTTTGCAAGGAATTTTCAGAACTTTTTCATCTTATAAGGCTGAAACTGTATCAATTAAACAGCTCCTCCTTTCCCTCTTTTCTGCAACCACTGCTCTATTTTCAGTTTCTACGAGTTTGACTACTTTAGACACCTCATATTTGAAATTATACAGTATTTATCTTTTTGTGGCTGGCTTATTTCACTTAGCATAATGTCCTCAGTGTTCATCCATGTGGTAGCATATGACAGGATTTCCTTTTAAAAAAAAAATGCTGAATAATATTCCATCGTGTATATATATATATATATATACACACACACACACACACACACCACATTTTGTTTATCCATTCATCTGTTGATGGACATTTGGCTTCCTTCCACCTCTTGGCTGTTGTGAATAATGCTAATTTGAACATGGATTCTGCTGTCATTCTTTTAGATATATTCCCATAAGTATGGGTATATACTGGATCATATGGCAATTCTATTTTTAATATTTGAGGAACCACTATACTGTTTTCCATAGTGGCTGAACTATTTTACATTCCCAGGAACAGTGTACTAGGGTTCTAGTTTCTCAGCATCATCACCGACACTTATTTTATGTTTTTTGTTTGTTTGTTTTGATAGTAACCATCCTAGTGGATATGAGGTGCTATCCCATTGTGGTTTCATTTGCACTTCTCAAATGATTAGGGATGTTAAGCATCTTTTCATACATTTGTTGGCCATTTGTATATAATCTTTGGATAACTGTATATTCAAGTCCTTTGCCCATTTTTAAATCAGGTTGTTTTTGTTGTTGAAATGTAGGAGTGCTTTATATATCTGGATATTAATCCCTTATTAGTTGTCTGATTTGAAGATATTTTCTTCTATTCCATAGGTTGCCTTATCACTCAGTTGATTGTGTCATTTGATGCACAGAAGTTTTTAAGTTTGGTGTAGTCCCATTTATCTATTTTTGTTTTGTTGCATGTGCTTTAGCTGTCGTATCCAGGAAATCTTTGCCAGGAATTAATTATTCTTGAATTTTCCCTCCTGTATGGAGACATGATTTTATTTAGTCAGTATCTAATCCTAGAGGAACAGTTTTAACATTAAGTGAGTAGGCACTCTAGAAAGAATAACTTAGCTTTTGAAGCCTGGCTTTCCACCTACTAGCTTGTAACCTTATTCTTGGGCAAGTTAGAAAATCTCCTTATTAGCCATTTGCCTTTTTCATCTGTAAAATGGGGACAGTGTACCTATTTCATAGTGCTGTTGTGAGGATTAAATGGGTGAATACATGTAAAGCATTTAAAACTAAGCACTCAGTTAATTTTGGTGCTCAGTCTCCATTTTACAAGTGTGAAGCTCTGAGAATTCTTAAAACTTGTCCAAACTTACACAGTCTGGTGTGCTTCCATCATGCAAACAACTTGAATCAGTATATGGGACAGTAAATGATATCAGACATGAATGTAGGAAAAATTTAAAAATATGAGAGGAAGTTGGTAGTACAAATGTATTATAAGGCAGTATGTGATTACCAAATAAAGTGATAGGGTATAATTGTGGTGTAGTCTAAAAACCTTAGTTCAGTTACAGACTTTGTCTCTGACATTTTTGTAACCAAGGACAAGTTACTTAGCTTCTTGAAGCCTTCTTTAGTTATATGTAAAATGAAGATATCACAGGGTTGATGTGAGCTGAAGTAAAGTTATGTGCAGACACTTAGAAAAGTGTATTTTATTTTACATAAAACATTTTCACAAGGTGTTTATTGGAATAATTAAGAATTCAGGGGACACAAAGAGCTAAAATATTCTTTTACAGTTTACTTATGCAGTGGACTTTTATATGAGTTCAGTTATACAGATATTTTCAAATATTTTCATACTATGAGTTTAGGTTTAAAAGTACTGATATATATGAGTAGCTACCACATAGAAAATATAAATGTTCTGGAAATATAATGGCAGTAGGTAGAAAGTAAATTACGTTTTAGTTTCTTTTTTTTTTTTTTTTTTTTTTTTCTTTTTTGCAACGGGTAAGGGGATTGTAACCCTCGGCTTGGTGTCTTCCCCAGTGAGCGCACCGGCCATCCATCCCCATATAGGATCTGAACCCGCGGCCTCAGCACTCCCAGCGCCGCTGCGCTTCCAGCACTGCACTCTCCCGAGTGAGCCACGGGGTCGGCCCTTAGTTTCCTAAATTACATTTATTTAATTATTGTTATGTTGTGGACTTTCACAGAGGAGTATAGTATCACTGTATTAATGCTTTACATTGCTGTTTTTATGCTTTAGTGTTTCCTAGTAATTGGGAGACAGTTTGAAGTACAGATTTTTTTTTAAGAGAAAAGAATTTTTATTTTTTTTAAGAACATCACAGTACTTTGAATCAAATGATGACCTACTGTTTCAGAAAAGGCCTGCATCTGTTTTAATGAATGGGTAAGTATAATGAATGGATAATATATACTTGCAGCATTTGTCTGCACAATAGCAATTAAAAGTTTCCTTTTTATTTTTTTCATGTGAGAGATGTGTGTAGATTTTTCTTTCTTTTTTTTTTCTTGCTGTGTTATTTAAAAATGTATATCTAATAAAAAATTCAAAGTTCTGTACCCTTTTGTCTCACTTAAAATAGTGAAATAAAGCTGCTTAAACTGTCATTATACATCTGGAGTATTATCCAACCCATTCCTTTTAAGGTGATTTTATATTGTTTCTATTTCTAACTTAATCAAAATTTAGTGATGGGTACACATTATACATTCAGATCACTTTTTTCTGTAACACCAAGTTAAGTGTTACAAAATGATTTCCAAATTTTAGGTAAACTATCTCAGACATTACAATTGAAAAAGAACAGTTGCATTTGGAATTGAACCTTAATTTAATAATGGCATGATCTTAGGTACATAGCTTAATCTTTCTGTTTCTCAATTTTCTCATCTAAAAAATGTAGATTTATTTATTCAACAAATATTTACTGAAAACATATTTCTCTGTACCAGGCAATATTCTAGGAAGTAGGGATTCAGTGGATAATAACACAAAGTCCTTGTCCTCATGGAGCTTACATTCTAGAGGAATGATGAACTATCTGGTGTATATAATAATGATTCAGTTAGTGTTATTCCTCTTTCCTTTCTCATTTGTAACTTTCACAGGATTATTGTGGGGGTATTTTTATCTTAAGTGCTGTAAGAATGTTATGTGTTATTACTGTGGCAAAAAAAAACTTGTGTGGTGCCTTGGAGTTGACAGGGTAATGTTTGTCTCTTTTTTGTCATTTCTTAAGTACTTATTTGACCACAAAATGATTGCTTAATTAATTTATCTCAATTTGGATTCAACTACTCATTCCATGCTTAGTTAACATTTAGTTTTTCAGCAATGTCTCATTCATTCCTTATATTGTCTGTGTATATAGCTGTCTCTCTCCTAGATTAAAAATGCCTTAGAGGTCAGGAGGCATTTTAATCTTATCCTTTTTACTTCATAATGCCTAATGGTTTTGCATATAGGAGGGGTCTTCCAAAAGTTCATGGAAAGATTGTATTATTTTTCAATACAATTCTTCCATGAACTTTTTGAAGTACCCTTGTACTTTTTGCATCTGTAGACCTGGATTTTTTGGAATGATGACTGTTTTTATAATTTTATTCCCTTCACTAAAGAGGATTTTTGTTAAATTTATAGCTAAATTAAAATTATA